GTCAATATGAATACGATCTAATTATTTCCGATTTTTGCCTGCTAAACACAAATTATTAAAATCTGTCACGTCACAATTTTGAGAAAAAATGGCCAAAGGCTCAAAATAATGATTTAAAATCACCATTGACTTTTTGATGCCATTTTTCTCAAAATCATGGCATGATAGCCAAATTTGGACAATGGGTTTGTATTCAGGCAAAAATATATTAGAAATAAGTATTTGCATTCATATTGCAAAATGCTGTTGAACAATGTTATTATACCTTTTCCATTTGAACTTTTCCACTTTTAATGCGTTATCAGCCAAGTTATCTAAAACATAAATTGCATGTTCCCCACTGCCTTGCTTGAGCTTATTCGGTGGAAATTCCACAGGCACATCAATTTCCCTGAGATAATCCAAGATGAGAGCTATTGTAGAATTAGGATCATCTGATTCTTGTGGCATTTCAAAGCTTTTTCCTGCTTTTCTAATCAACCATGCGGCTAGGCATGTAAATGAGTAAAACTGTTCACCAGGATTTGTCGGAATGACAAAATGATGCCTATTTTTTAAATTTGTTTATAATTATCTTATTAAATATTATAATAATATAAAAGTAATATTAATGTATCTGTAATATCTTACCTGTTGATTGGTTTCATTCTTAATTCTTGCACAAATTCCGCATCGTAGTTCAACAATTTCAGCTTCTCTAACAGATCTTCCATCCTAACATTCATGACATATGGTGCCGATGGAGCAAGCCCATCCTCTACAATGATTTTTTGAGTATCTCGAAACATCCTTGTTTTCTCAATATATTTTGTATCAAACCTGCAAAAGAAATAAATACTTCAAATTGAAATGTTGAGTGATTAAATTAAAACACTTCACTAAAATATAAATAAACTAAAACATTTAAATTAAAGTGCTCAATTATTAGAATTATTAGAATTATAAGTCGATTATTCAAATTAATACTATTTCTTATAAGTTCATACATACTCACTAGATTGACTAGATAATTTCAATGTGGCAGCTTTGTATCAACATTCACTTTTGGACTCTAATACGTTAAGAAATGGCAGCATGCTGTCGCATTCATGTATCGTAATGACGAATATAGATTAAAAAATATTAATTAATTAATATTCATTGTAATAATTCATTAACTAAAACCAGTTCAGATTAAGTTGGTGTTCACATTGACGAACTCCGTCTATAAATCTAATTCTTGAATTCTTTTATAAAATCCTAATACATAGTTTCTATGATATCGATATTCAGTCTGATGAAGGCTAACAGTCTGATGAAGATTAGTTATAAAAATAAAGAAAATAGTGAATCATAATATAATGATTAAATCGGGATCGATCCCTATCACCACCAGCTCAGATGAAATCCAGATAGATTTGAATGAAATTAAAGTTTGCTTTAATTCTCACTGATAACCGATATTTTCGTAACTATTTCTTATAAATGTATTTCCTTGTCAATTTTCAGTTTCTTCAGTAACTACATTTTATAATATGACTTATCGCGTTTACGTCAAAGCTAGTCCATAGGTT